CGTCTGCCCCCCCGGCGCAGCGGCCGCGGAGGCCAAGTCCGGCGATGCCGCCATCGCGCCGCCGGAAGCGGAAGCCCCGTGCGCCACCATCCCGGAAGCGCTGCCTCCTCTTCCGGTGGGGCCGCCGCGGGGCACGACGGGAGCCGTAGTCGCGCGCCCCGCCCTGGGCCCCCGTGTTCTGGGAGCATCGACGCTAGTCCTCGGCTGACGACGCTTCGCTTAGTGACCGGTGGAAGTCACAGGGGGAGCGGGAAAAGCGACTTAGGGCCGTTTCTCACACTGACCACCGTTGCGGCATCCCTGTGGTCACGTGATCAAAATTCAGCTCGCATTTATGACGGTCGCAGCGTCTGAGGATCCCCTCTTGCGACCTCCTGACAAGCAAAGTCCACGGAGAAGCCAGATTCACTTAGCAACCTCTCCCTCCCTCCCTCCTGCCTTCAAAGTGCTTTGGAGAATAGGCTCTTCTTCTGGGTGGCAGCTCCGCAGATATTGGGAGGGGGCTCTCATGTCACCCCTGGTCCTTCTTCTCATTGAACTGGATGAAGCTAATTCCGAATCATCTTTACTGTTTTTCCTCTGCATTTTATTTGACATCTTTTCTATATAGTGGTGACAAAAACTGGACACAACATTCCAGGTGTGGCCTTGCCAAGGCATTATAAGTGACAGGTCCCCCCCACTCTCCCCACACTTAGAAAAGCCCCCTGCATTAGGGGTCAGTGAGTGGAAATCCCACCCACCCACCCACCCCGAAGTTGTTAGTTCTGTGCTCAGTTGCCATTTCTCATCTTAAAATAGCCAGTTTGGCTCCAGTGGTGAAGGGACTGGGCTAGAAATGGGAGAAAGGAGAGTTTGAGTCCTGCCTTAGAAGCTGAAGCCGGCTGAGTCACTTTGACTACTGACAGGATTGTTGTGGGGAAGAAGGAAGAGGGATTTTGTACAATGATCTCCTTGAGTAATTGATAAAAATAGTAAAAGCAGGATATAAATAAAATTTTATACTTCAGATTTTAGAATTTATATTTGTATATAAATATACGTATGTATGTATATGTATATACTTATATTTCTTGCTGGTTTATGGTTTATTAGGTATTTATGCTATCCTGCTTATGTACAACATACCCATAACGACCCAATAAAATATGACAGTAACAGCGTCACACAGTTTGAGCCAGGCTGCCTTATAAAAACCTGAATGAATGAATGAATGACTACAATTTAGCAATGGAAACCAGCCGACTTTCTTACTTGTCTAACTGTAATTCCTACATGAGCGGTTCACCTTCTGCTCCACATTCAGCACTCAGCCAGGTGTTTGGTGCTGTGGTTGAGCTGCTCAGCCTCCTTTTGGCAATCAGGAGGGGGCTGCTTTACAGCCCCCCCCAAAGCACTTCCGGGCATCCTAAAACATTCCCCTCCACCCAGTCAAGCGCTTGGGAACATATTTCCATTTACGATTGATCTGGAGACGGTGTGCCCTCCGATCATGTGATCACCACTTGCAATCTTCTGAGGAAGGTTGCAAGGGGGGGGGGCATTGGATTTGAGGTCAGTTCCCTCTGCACTGAGGGATTTCCCCTCCCCTACATGCAGGGAGGAGGAAACCTCCCACCCGTGTCTGGAAGAACAGACCTAAAATCTGTTCTCATGATTGTTCTCCCCTCCTGGTGGGGTTGAGAGAGGGCCCGTCCCTCCTGGGGGTGGTGGGAGGCCCAACGTCAGACTCCAAAAGCCAAGACAAGCCAAGGATCGACCATGGTGATGCTTCCAAGCAGACTTCTTTATTCGTCCACACCTCTGGACAGAGTCTTACCACACTGAAGCTGACTCCTTCCTAGGATGAAGCATCTACTCTGGGAACTCTTAGGGAGGAGCCATATTCACCCTCTTTCTCTCACACAAACTCTCCGAACTGAGTTTTCTCTCGCTCCTCTGGAATCCAGCCCATTACTTCCATCACATCCAGCCCCATTGCCCACCCCACCACGCCCAGGAGGTCACTTAATCACCGCTGGGAGAGCCAGGATTATGGGCATTGAGCAAAGTGGTCGTGTGGCACTTGCTTAACAACGGCTTCACTCAATGACAGAGATTCTGGGCCAATTGTGATTCTAAGCGGAGGACTGCCTACAATGGCTACCTTTGTTCCTGTGACTGCCAGGTGTGTGTGTTTTGTGTGTGTCCAATGCTAGGCACTGGTCCCTTTGTCCCTTGGGACGGTCCCCGGCCTGGCAGCCGTCTGAGCTGCTCCACTTTGGAAAGCGGTCATCAAATTCTGAGAGGATGAAGGGGCTCCTCCCGAAGGTTTGCTCAGCAAAGAGGACTCTCAAGAGGCTGTGGGGTACGGTTGCTGCTCTGGCACTGCCCACCTCTTGCCAGCCGGTCCCCGGAGGCATCTTTTGTTCTACAGGAAGTCCTCCGCTTACAATAGTCCATTTACTGGCCATTCAACTGTTCAAAGAAATGTCCTTCTGGGTTCGGCTCCAAGTGGGGGAAAAAGACAGTGGAGGTGACATGGAGGCTGCTTGGAAAGATGGTTTAATGGTGGACAGGACCACATGGCTTGAGTCCTGAACAGGAAAGTGGGATCACATGCTTCAATGTTGGGTGGAGAAGAAGAGAAGGGAGGCCTGAGATGCTGAAAGTCCCTGGTTTTATGTCCTCTCTGGCCTTTGATCTTGAGCTTGTATCCTGATTGGTTGTCAGACTCCCATGGGGCTGTGCAGGGGCAACTCTCTAGGCTGCGTTTTGAGTCCAGGTTTGGTTGAGTTCTCAGATGCCATGTGGCGAGTTGGGCAAAGGGCCAATATTATCATGCCTTAATCCCATGCCCCTTGGAGCTGAAGGGGAGAACTCTTTATTATGTAAAGGGACTGGCTTGGCCATCTTAATGGTCCATTGACAAAGTGGGCGGGGGCAGGAAGCTGCAGGGAGTTATTCTCTCTTTAAAACATGTTTCTTCCTTTTCACATCCAGGGGAATATTCTGCCTTTTCAATATTTCCTAGGATATTTCATTTTCCTGGTAAAGCAGGATAAAATGTGAATTAAAATATAAGAATAAGACGTGGCAAAAGGGACAGAAGAAAAGCTTGCTTGTAAAAAGACAGGAAAATGTCATTGGACTTCAACCACAGAAGTCCAGTAAAGGTTCCAGTAAAAGTTCTTATGGCAAAAGCCCAAAACCACAGGGTTCAGCTAAAGGGGTCAGCATAGAGACACGTGTAGCCAGTGCCTATGGCCCAAGACAAAAGGAGAAGACAGACAATATCTACTTATAAGGCTTCTTTCCTCAAGGCAACCAATAAGAAAGGAGTTAAGTGTTTCCGTGCTACGCTGCCTTTGAGAATGTATAAGAACGCCTGATTCGATAAATGAAGGTTGTTCAGAACTTGCAATGCTAGTCTTCTCTTCTAGTTTTCTGAACCTGGCTGCCAATAAACTTCTCCGTGACGGTTGCAGCGTCCCGGGATCACGTGATCCCATTTTGCAACCTTCTGGCAAGCTTTCATTGGGGAAGCCGGATTCACTTAAAAACCGTGTCACTAACTGAACAACTGCAGTAACTCGCTTGACAACTGTGGCAAGAAAGGTGATAAAATGGGCCAAAATTCACTCAACAACTGTCTCGGTGAGCAACAGAAATGTTGGACACAGTTGTGGTCGTATGTCAGGAACTGCCTGTGTTCAGAGAGCTCCCCTATTTCGCATTAACGAAGGAGGGGGAGGAGGGGGCTTTGGAACGACACAATCCTTAGCAAGAATAAACTGAGGGGTGCAGGTGTGTCTTTGTGTAGTCCACGGCGGGGGTTCCCTGTGTGACACCCCCCCCCCCAGCCACACCCCGCCTTCAACCAGGAGCCCCTCGGCGCCCCCCCCCCAGACCTCCACGGGTGGCCCCTCCTCCCAGCGCCCCATTCGCAGCCCCGCCCTCCTCCCGGAGGACCAGGCGGGACGAGGGGCGGGGCCTGCCGCCTTGAGTGGCAGCCGCCCCCTCGCCTTTGTTCCCTGGCCGACGACACCGCGCCCTTGAAGCCCTGGCCAATGGGAGGAGGACTCTTCTTCCGAGGCGGGCGCTGATGCGGATTGACGCGGAGGGCAGCCACTGAGTGCTCTCTTCCTGGCGATCGGCGCCGCTTTCCCCCAATCAGAGTGGCGAGTCTGGCGGGCGCCCAATCCTTGACGGGAAGGGCGCGGCTTCCCGCTGCTGTTGTCGTCCGCTGCCTTCCGAAGGAGAGGAGTCCGATCGGGGGCTTTGCTCGCGGGAGCGGCAGGCGGGCGGTGACGGCGCGGTGGCTCTTCCAGTCGGGGACATGTCGAGGTGGGCGGGGCTCCGGCAAGCCGCTTGGAGGAGACGAGTGGCCGCCCAGGCGACGGCGGCGCCCGACTCGAGTTCCTCCGGGAGACTGCGCCGCTCGACGCCCCCCCGGCCCTGAGCCCCGGACGCGGCCCGCGGAAGGCGAGTAACGGCCCTCCGGGAAGCGCCCTCAGCCGCCGGACTACATCGCCCGGCATGCCCCGCGCCGAGGCGGAATCAGGCGGCGCGCGCGGCATCATGGGGCCCGGGAAGGAGGGAGGGGGGGAGGGAGGGAGGGAGGGGTTGCTGGGCGCGCGGCATCGCGGGAAGTGTAGTTTTGGCCGGCGGAGGAGCCTCCCGAAGAAGGCCTGAGGGTTGGGCCGCCCTCGCTGGGTCCGCTGGGGCTGCGGGACGTTTGCGCGGCTTCCAATGTCTGGTGGGGGGGGGGTAAAGAAGCGGGGGCTGCGCCTGTTCTCCGAAGCTCCTGAAGCAACGGATGGAAACGAGTCAAGGGAAGAAGCAGGCTGGAATTGCAGAGAAACTCCCTGACAGTGAGGACAATTAACCAGCGGAACGACTTGCCACCAGAAGTTGCCCCATCACTGGAGGCTTTGAAGAAGAGGCGGGACAGGCATTTGTCCAGGATAATGTAGAGGATGGACTAGAAGACCTCCAAGGTCCCTTCAAATGCTGTTATTCTGCCTCCACCAAGCGGACGTCATCCCATCTTGGGTTCCACGGAACCCATTGAATTGCTTTGGAGTTGCACACTAAATGCCCCCCAAATTGATGCCCCCTAACCAAGCTTGCCCCGCTGCTCAGAGGCCTGACTCGAGTGGGGCCAGCCCAGCCTGGCTTTGTAAGGCAAGGGGGCTCCCCAGGCACCCCTAAACTCGGCTGTGGCTTACCACAGAGAAGCCGCACCACATGCTGCTGAACCACAAGCAGCCCTGCCTGCCTGCTTAGCCCGGGACGTGCCAGAGGTGCTTCCCCAAGCCATCCGGGAGTCCTTCCAAAGCCTCCATTGGCTCCCCAGAGGAGCCTTGTACAGCCTGCCTGCCGTGTCCTCTTGCAGAGAGGGCTAAACTCTCCAGGCGGAAGGGCTGCTGCGGGAGGCCCAATGGGCAGCTTTCCGGCTGCCAAAAGCCCCACTGCTAAAAGGGGTCAGATGCAAAGTTGCATGTGGTTTTGTCTGGTAGCATTTTTGGGGGGCAGCAAAGGGGATCTCTGGGGGCACAGCTGGCGCTGATTCTTCTTGAGGCTTTTGATGATCTCCACTGCTCTCCCTTGGTGGCATTTCTCTGCCCAGCCGTTTCCAGCCTCCCGTCCCAAATCTCTTCCTCTTTTGAGGTCCGTTTTTCAGACCAAAAGCCTCTGGGACGCCCCTCCCCGAGTGTTAAGGAGAGTGGATCCTGGGGGATCCCCCTGGCTGAGCCGCCCAGCTCTCTCTCCCGTTTCCCCAGGTGTAACCGGAGGATCCGTTTCTTTCTCTCTGCCAGAGTTCAACTGCACTGCAAAGTACCGAAGGCCTCTTTGGCCCCAGGAAGTGCAATAATGAAGCTGTTGGAAAACTCCAGTTTTGAAGCCATCAACTCCCAGTTGACAGTGGAAACGGGAGACGCGCATATTATTGGCAGGTGAGGGTGTGGGTGCTTTGGGGAAAAGGGCAGCGGTTGTAACAGGAGTCTTCAGTTATGGTCCCCCTAATTAATATGGCTTCATATGGCAAATTGGTGTCAATTCTGGGCCAGAACCCATCCTGCGAAAGAGCACCCAGCCCACCCACCCTGGTCCAGCGATTCCCGTGAGCAGCCCTTGAATCTCCAATCAGAGCAGCTGCTCGGCCCTTTGCCCGCCTGTCTTGAGCAGCCATGAGGGTCTCCTTGTGTGGAGATGCCTTCATCCTTCCTTTTGCTGACTTCAGCTGCTTCTTTCCTGAGAGCAGTTTGGTCTCCTTTCCCTTCTTTTCCTGAGTTCTCTGGCTGTCTTTTCAATTCCGCCACCTTTTGTTTTCATACCTCTGTCGAGCCCTTCGTGTAATCCCACCAGCGACTTCACACTTTCTCCTAGGCAGCTCCCCTCCGTCCCTCAGGGCCTTCGTTTTTAATGACCTCCCCGGGAATCATGGATTTGTCCTCAATTGCATCTGCCTTGAAATTGGGCCGTGAGAAAGAATGGGCCGACCCTCTTAGCTGAAATACCATCTCCATGCAGAGCAGTCAATGGTTTATCATACATTATAATATCATATATTAATATATTGTATTATATTATTATTATATGTTAAATTTACACGCTGCCCATCTCGCTGCCAGGCAACTGAATGAACGAACAACTGAATCCAGAATTATTCTGATTTATTGCTGACTTGCCTTGTGGGTGTCTCGAAAGGAACCTCTTTGGTTCACCTCCTGGCCCGGTCAGCAGCCAAGAGGGCCCACCGTCTGGCTGGCCCCAAAATGGGTCTTTCCCTGAAAAACAGGCGCCAGGCTCCGCTAGCTCAGGCGGAAGCAGTGGCCCCGAAGCGACCTTGGCTGGGGGTGGAGGTGGGTCTGGCCTCAGGGGGATCCCTTCATCTCCCCACAGGATCGAGAGCTATTCGTGCAAGATGGCCGGGGATGACAAGCACCTCTTCAAGCAGTTTTGCCAGGAGGGTCAGCCACACGTCCTGGAGGCTCTGTCGCCGCCCCAGACCACCGGCATCAGCCCTAACCGGTAGGTGCACCCAGCCGCCTGTGCAAAGGCCACGCTCCCCCAAAGGCCCCCGTTGGTTTGCACCACCAGTCAGCTGCACAAGCGCGGCTCCCTGGGAGACAGGAACAGGAAAAACAAGGGGGCGGGGTGGGGGGGCAATAAAGGGGCCTCTTCCCAGCCTCCCCCTCTAGGTCAGGTCAGCCGGCTGGCTGGCCTGCTTGGGGAAAGGCTGCTGTACCCTGTCCCCGTGGGAGGACATGGGCAGCGTCTCTCCAACCCCCCCCCCCAATTGAGCTAAGCAGGACCCAGGTTGCCTGGGGAGCCTGGCTGCCCCCTCCAAGGCAGCCCTGGGGCCAAGCGGTGTGTGTGTCTGTCGTGCCAGGCTCAGCAAGAGCCAGAGTGGAGACGAGGAGGGGCCCCTCAGTGACAAGTGCAGCCGCAAGACCCTCTTCTACCTGATCGCCACCCTGAACGAATCTTTCCGCCCGGACTACGACTTCAGTGCCGCCAAGAGCCACGAGTTCAGCCGGGAGCCCAGCCTCAACTGGGTAAGCGGGCCCCTCGCCCTCCGCACTGGCAGGGCAGCCGACCTTGTAACCCTCTGGAAGCCTCTGTCCTGGGTCCCTTGCCCAAGGAATCGAGGGGGTGCCCGGGAGAGGCCTCCAGGGACTAGGGGGCTGGTAGCGCTCACGGAGGAGGAAGCGTTGTGGCTGGAGGGCCCTGAGGTTGCTCAGGGTGCAGGAGACGGTTGGCGCTGTTTGTCCTGCTTCCCGCCTGAGTTCCTCCCGCTGTCATCAGGCCTGGCCAGTCTTTGGAGAAGGCGGCTTCTCCCTCCTTCCCGTTACCCCCTGTACCTAGCCCAGAGGTGGGGTGCAGTGCCCGGCCACTCCTGAAATGCTGCATTGGCTCTTCCACCAACTTCCGCATCCTGTGGAAAGACTTTCTGGGAACCGCAGGATGCGCCAGTTCCTCCCCATTTGCAGTCCCAGGTGTGTCCATTTGGGGGCGTTTTTCAGGTGGTGAATGCCGTGAACTGCAGCCTCTTTTCTGCCGTCCGGGAGGATTTCACTGCTTTGAAGCCTCACCTGTGGGACGCGGTCGACCAGGAGATCTGCCTCTCCGAGTGCGACATCTACAGGTGGGAGGCCGTGAGGGAGTTTGGGGGGGCGGGAGGGGGGAGGGCGTCCCCCCCCAAGCGAGGCCCCTCCAGCTCCCCTTCTGTGCCGCAGCTACAACCCGGATCTGGATTCGGACCCCTTTGGGGAGGAGGGCAGCCTCTGGTCGTTCAACTACTTCTTCTACAACAAGCGCCTGAAGAGGATCGTCTTCTTCACCTGTCGCTCCATCAGGTGAAGGCAGGGGAGGCCCTGGGGGTCCCCGGCTCTTCTCCCGGCCCCCGGGGTGTGTTTTGAGCCCCCTTTGTGTCCCCCCCCCCCTCCAGCGGCTCCACCTACCGTACTCACTCCGAGGCTGGGAACGAGTTGAACATGGACCTCAGTGAGGACGATGCCGAGGAGACCCCCAGCAGCTGCGACAGGGACAGGGGCAGCATTGAGGCGGAGAAGTGAGTTGTCCCCCGTCCCCCCCCCGTACTCCTCCCCCCCGCCCCTGGCCCCACCTGCTGCAGTCTGGCGGGGGTCATTCTTGGGCCAAGCCTGGCCGCCTCTCGCCTGGGCTGCAGAAGTGATGGGCGCCCCCTTCTGCCGACAGGAGGCAGGTGGTTTGCATGTGATTCCTGTGCCGGGGGCTTCTCCCGTGGAGGACGGCGCTGCCAGCTCTTTCCCCAAACAACTCGGCCTTGTTGCGTTGCTCTGCCTGCCCTGTGGATGCTGCTGCGTGCGGAATTGGCCCTCCGGACGCCCAGGATGCTGCCAGCAGGTCCTCCGCCTGCCGGCTCAGCCTTCAGGGACCCAGTTCTTGTGACTCTGCGCCTCTCCTGCCCTGCCTGCGGGACACGACGATTTGCAGGCGGGGAGACACAGCCCCGAGGCTGGCTGATGGGAGGGGGGGCCGGACTGGCTGCTGCGGGGGCTCCTTTTCGCCTTGAGACCCAGGAAGGAGAAGCTGAATTAACATGGAACCCCCCCCCCTTTTTTTTTAACCCCCCCCCCCAAGACCTTTGCCCTCAAATAGCTGGACTGGCATTTGGGGCCCTCTGGCTTCCCCC